GTTTCTAAAATCCTTGTCCCCTTTGGTATCCATTTATGAAGGACATCATTATCTTTAGTAGTAATGAATTCTTTAGGAACCCATATACTCCTAACAATTTTACCATTCAAGGTTCGTTGAGGACTTTTATGATTGTAGCTTCTAAAACTTTTCGTAACAAAGTTGGATTTTGAATTCTCACATTTTTCACAACTTTTTATTCCAACCTTATTAAAAGAAGTTTTAAGATCATCAATCTTCTTTTGATGATCATCATGAACTTTTGAAAGTAAGTTATGCAAATCAGTATTTTTCTTTTCAAAATCATTAATTTTGATTTGCAATTCTTTGATCTTACTTTCAAGCTCATTGTTGGTCTTGGATATAAGACTATTTTCATTTTTCAATTTTGAAATATCATTTTTGTATTTTGAAAATAGAGTCTTATAATCCGAAGCCAACCCATTATAATCCTCTAATAACTCATCATAAGATAATTCATCCAAATCGAATGAGTTAGAGGTTACCTTAGAATCTTCCCCGATAGCCATCAAGCACAAGTTTGCAACTTCTTGTTCCTCTTCATCGGAACCTTCTTCATCGCTCCATGTAGCTACATGAGCCTTGTGCTTCTTTTTGGATTGACCCTTTTTCTTCAATTGTGGGTAATCATATTTGACATGCCCCGTCTTTTTGCATTCATAGCAAATGATCGGGTCTTTCTCATTCGATTCAGTTTTGAAGCCTTCATGACGTTTGAATTTTCTTCCTCGGTTGGGCATCATTAAATTTCTGAATCGTTTGGCAAATAACGCCATTTCCTCGTGATCGTCATCGTCATCGTCATTTGAATCACTCTCATCTTTTGTGGATTTGAGAGCAGCTCCAATATTTTTCTTCTTCTCCTTCTCCTTTGGTGTCTTGTCAATCTTATCGAGATCCACTTCATATTCAAGCATCATTTCATGAGTGAGAAGAGAATCGATTAGTTCTTCAAGAGTTAAGGACGTTAGATCTTTAGACTCGATGATTGTCGTCTTCTTTGATTGCCACGATTTTGGAAGGGAGTATAATAACTTCCTCACAAGCTTTTCATTTGAAATGATCTCTCCATATGATTTGAGACAATTGACAATCGTTGAAAATCTATCCATCATAGCTTTGATATCTTCATTTGGTTTCATCCTGAAATTTTCATAGATATGCGTTAGAATACTAATTTTAGATTTCTTTACCTCATCGGTACCTTCATGAGTGACTTGAAGTTTGTCCCATATTTCTTTGGCTGTTGTACAAGATGAAACCCTTCCGTTTTCATCTGGTCCAAGAGCACAAAATATGATATGGATGGCTTTGGAGTTGAGTTGGAACATTCTTGTATCTCCTTCACTCCACAATCTTGGATGAGTGAGAGGCTTGATGTATCATTCTTCTACGACATTCCATGCTCCCATGTCACTTGCTTGAATGAAGTACATCATCATATTTTTCTAATAGGCATAGTTAGCTCCATTGAAGAAATGAGGCTTGTTGACGGGCATCGAATCGAGACCAGAGTCGAAGTTTGAAGTAGAGGCCATTGATGACTTTGATTATCGATGTAACTCTTCCCAAATCGACTCAAGAGGCGATTAAACCTTCAAATGAGTTAGGCTCTGATGCCAATTGTTGAGTTAATCGATCGATGGAATCAACCAAGAGGGGGTGAATTGGCAATAAAAATTTTGGTGGAAGCTTTTGCAGAAAATTGAAAGTAATTGCACAACGATTTTGAGTGGTTCGACTTTCTCAACCAAAGTCTACGTCCACTACCTTAGCTATCCACACTAAGGATTTTCCACAAATTCACTAATTTGTCTTTCTTTTGAGAACAAAGAGTAACCTTACAAACCCTCAAGAATTATACCCCAAATTCTTGAGAACACTCTTTTCCAAAGAGAACAATACAAATTTGCAAACTTACAAGGAAATCCTCACAAGGTAGATTGTTTGCACAATTCTAGAACAAAGAAAATAACACTCAAGAATGAATACAATTGAGCACAATAAGTGTTCTTGAAAGAAAAATGAATATTGAATGAAAAATAGGCTTGAAATGCTCAAACTTTAGGTTTGATGCTTTCTCTTTGATTCTAGTTGCTTGATGTTTCTTGTTATTGATCAATGGCTTCTAAGCTTGTTTAAATACACCTTGAATCACTTCTGAACGTTGGGGATCATTAATGAAGTTATTGGAGCCGTTTAAGTGTGAAAACAATTAATATTTCTGCTTGGAGCGTGGGGGTAATCGATACCCTCTCAAGGGGAATCGGTTCCCTAAGTGTAAAATTCAAATATTTCGACCGTTGAATAGTGGGGGGAATCGATACCCCCAGGGGGGAATCGGTACCCCTTGGGGGGGAATCGGTTCCCTCTGGACAAACTGTAATTTTTGGCTTTGAAACTATTCGAAATACTTTGTAAAATTGTTTTGAAATTATTTTAAGATTAAAACTTAATTTTACACTTTAGTAAGGATTTAAAATGAACTTTGAAATACTTTGAGTAATATTTTGATATTCGATTTATATCGAATATGCTTAGAAAAATCATTTTCAAAATTAAAATTCTTTTAATTTAATTTGTTATGTCGTTCAGGTACTGACATATCATTAAGGTTGATCGGCTCACTTAAGTTGTGTTCCATAACTTTTAAGGGTAGTCCAACACCTCTTCTTATTTGGATTCCTTAATTAATCCAAGACATTTACTTAATATAGGCCATAAGGGTATTTTGGTAATTTTGATGTTCAGTTTTATTCCATTCATTTCAGAGCTCGAGGATATCCAATAATTCTTGAGCTTGGTGATATTCTTGGGTCATTTCCATTACAGGGGTATTTTGGTCATTCTACAGATTCAGTGTATTTTAATCATTTTCTTTCGTCTGATCTTACTATTAAATTCAATCTTATCATTTATTTCATTTCTTTCGAACAATTCTGATAGCAGAATACCTCCAATAAATTATTCTTCAGGTATTTACTCATTACTCGAATATTTTCAGGTCAAGTGCCTTCTCAGATTTTACAAACGGAATATCATGAATTTTTCTATACAAAGACAGGATCTTAACAATTAAATTCGTACTTAATCGAGTTTAGTATAAATCCTCAAAGTACTTTCTCATTCAGGGTCAACTCATACTATTTTACCTCTCAAGAGCATTTTCGTAATTTCTTAACCAAATAATTTCGATATTAGCTCTTAACGAAAATAATTATAATTTAAAGATCATATGGTTAATTGCTTTCCCGAACATTCTCTGATCTTAAAATTATTCCTTAACAAACTTCTAGCATCTTGCGCAAACCCTTTTTGACGTTAAAAACCAGTTATCCGAATTTTCTAAACAAATCTATTATTTCTTATGCACATATATAATTATATCAGATCAATATGTATTTTCAGAGTTATTAACCAACTTCCAGGGATAATTCTTGTCATCCTGCAATATAAGGGTATTTTTGTAATTTTACCCTATCAGAATATTCTCATAATTTCCCATCCAAATACCTTTGATGAAATAAATTATATGATACAGATCTAAACTGATTCATTTATCACTAAACACAGAACTTGTAATTTTAATTCTAACAATTCCTCAATTTCTTATAAAAGTCATCTGAACCATAATAAGTTACTGAACCTTTTTACCGTATTCAGATAGAGTATAGAAATTAATCAACTCCACAAAAGTGACCAACATTATCTTATTCATGCATTTACCAATATCAACATATTCCAATAAGCATAAAGAGGTAGTAAAGTATTACCTCGATTTTCATGCAATATTGATCGACCATTAAATTCCATTTGAACGCCATCGATCTTGAAATAATCTTCCAAAATTTCCTCGGATCCATATCAACAGAAATTACATCAAAACAGAGCTTAATTCTGAAAAACGGATTGAATCAAATGATAAATAAGTGAAAAACAACTTACCGAGTTCGAATTTGGTAAAACAGACTTCGGATTCAGGACGTCGAAAGCATAAAATACGACTTTTCAAAAATTTGGAATTTTCGATCAAAATCAAAGTCAACGGGTTTGACTGGCAATTTCGAGGCATTTGGGTCCGAATTTTGAAAAAAGAACTGCGGAATTGGATTTGGAACGTCGAAAAATGTCAGGATATGTATACTCGGTCAAAGTCAAAGGTCGTTTAATGCCCGATCAAAGTTCTGGTCAACTGTGGTCAATGGATCAACGGGTCGGGTTAGGTTGTAACCAGTAAAACCGGTCAAATCTGCTCCAAAATCGGTTAAATCGGTCATTTGGACCATCCCCACACGCAGTGGTGGCGCGTGGGACCCCCTCCGGTGTCCTATAAATCACGTAAAAATTTCTAAAAATTATTTTGAGCGATTTCGAGATACTTACAAATCTCGGTTCAATTTTTTGAACGGCGGAGAGCTTGATTTCAACAAATCGGAAACTTTGACCGCTTTACCTCCTCACGCGCTGCCGTTGACGGAGACCAATGATGACACCGGCAGACTCGGAATGATGCAAGGAACACGATGGTGCGGGAGGTGTCATAAACGGATCATCGGATCGTCGTGAATCGACGAAAAACCAATTAAAATCGAGTTATTACCGACGATACTTCCAACTGAAATTAACGACGAACGGAGACGATTCACGACGAAAGATTTGAGGGGTTTTGTTTCTCGGTTGACAATGAACACGATGGTGGTTTCGCCTCGTCGATCGGAGGTCGGACGGTGAGTAAATCAGAGTTGAAAAGAGGATTATTGGGAAAGGAAAAACTAGAAAATGTCTCTGAAAACTGACGTGGAATAATCTATAGTTATCTCCTATCGAAAATTTACTAAATTAATAATTTAATCACTGAATTTCCTGCACTTCTTAAAATGATTTACGAATTTTATAATTTTATAATTTAATTTTCAGTTTCTTCTAAAAATACAAATTAAATTCACTAATTTATAATTTTTTAAATTTAACCGGGCATCTTCAGATGTGATTGATGATGATGACATAATCAGTTGCCTTCTTTGTCGAAGACCCACAACAACAATGAGAACAGCAACAGTACCGTGTCACCAGCGGTTCACCCAAGCACCACCAGTGTCCATGAACTCCTTGAATGCCCTGTTTGTACCAATTCTATGTACCCTCCGATCCACCAGGTCAGTTTCTCTTTCTTCTTTGAGAGCATCTTTGTTTAATGCTTTTGGGGTGCTTTAATGGTTTAAATCTGTTTCTTTTTCATGACTTTTTTCAGTCAATTTGTTGTCTTCTGAGTTTTTTAGGCTCAATCTTGTCTGTTGGATTGTGCTCTTTTAGAGTTAGAATTTCTCTTCACATATTTTAGGGTTAGAACCATGACTAGAGGTTGGAGAAGAATTGGTCATACGGGCTTGAACCTGGTCTTTGGTGTCAACCGTCAACATACAACAACTTTACCACTTTAATTGTGGCTATGCCGGCACTACTGCCTTGATTTTAATCAATCGCATGAGAATCCTTTTCAATATGATAATGAAATCTATATTCACTTTTCCCCCAAGAGTAAAATAGGAGCAAATAGAATAAGATGATGGACCAATTATACTGTAAATGTTCTAAATAGAAAACTTCGTTTTTTTGGTTTACTCCCGTTGGTATTGCCTGTTGCCTTCCTCGGCTAATGAGGATGTCTTTTGTTATATTTGACAAATGTTTGCAATGCCGATTCAGCCTTTCAGCTCAGGCGTAGGAAATTGTGGATTGTAAACAAAGGTGGTATGTATAGCTGTTTGTGCTGGGAAGGGTTTTAGAGAAGTCAAAAGTGTGGTTTCTTTTTCTCTCATTCCGGAGGGGCTAAATGGCAAATTGAATGGAAATTAAAGACCTCATAGAATATTATCTTCTCAATTATCATGCATATATAAGAATCCATGTTTATTCCCATGAGAGTTTACTAGGATATTTTGGGAGTCCAGAACATGAGAAACGTGTTTTTAAGTTTCATAATTTCACAGAAATGCACAGACTAGTGGCTTCGTCTAGAGTGTAAGCAATGCTGGTAACATTGTGTTTATAGCTATAGTAATTGAAGAGTGCCTTAGGGCCTATTCTTTCTTTTAATCCTCCTCACATGAACAAACTTTGTACGGTAAAAGGCTTAATCAAGATGGCGTATCGTTTGATGAAATTAATGAAAGTTGTCAACTTGTCTTTCTTTCTTTCTCTCTCTTTCTATGGGTGTATGTACATATCATTAGCCTGCAAAGGACAGGTGCTTGGTTAAATAAGCGGCTGACCATAGCTAATGATGGTGCTTAAGGATGAAAACAGCCTTTTTTCCCCCCTTTTTCTCCTTCGAGTTGGGTTCGGTGCACGAACTTTGGCATCTGTAGATTATGCTTATACCTAGTTACATGTGCATGTTTCTACGTTTGCCTCTGTTGTGTGCTGGTAAAACCATATTTGTATGCTTCGCTCTGAAAGTGGCCCAAAAGTTCTGCCAGTTTTCTCTAGTTTCACATGTCAAACACCATATTCCGCTTTCTGAACCATTGGATTTTTGGTGCATTAGGGTTTTTCAATGCCTTTGAATGCTAGTACTATTGGACTAGATTTCTATCAAGCTGCTTTATATAATTTCTTATCTTAATGATGAGCATTTTAAAATTTGCTTTTCCACAGTGCCATAATGGGCATACACTCTGTTCAACCTGTAAAACAAGGGTACACAATCGGTGCCCCACTTGTAGACAGGAGCTTGGTGATATTAGATGTCTAGCACTAGAGAAGGTGGCCGAATCACTTGAATTGCCTTGCAAATTTACTTCACTTGGATGCCCAGAAATATTTCCCTACTACAGTAAACTCAAACATGAGGCCCTCTGCAACTTCAGTCCATACAATTGCCCATATGCTGGATCAGAATGTGCTGCTGTTGGCGATATTCCATTCCTTGTTGCTCATCTAAGGGATGACCACAAGGTGGACATGCACACTGGATGCACATTTAACCATCGTTATGTGAAGCCTAATCACCAGGAGGTAGAAAATGCAACATGGATGCTAACTGTAAGTACACTCATTCTTAGGCATATTTGTTCTGATTAAGAATTGGATTAATAGATAATGGATGATGATAAACTAGATATAATGCTAATTGGTAATTTGGTTCTTTCCTGTATACAAACATGGCCTTGACATTTCTGTGACACGAGCTATCTATTCTATGCACTGGAACAAGTTGCCAGTTTCATACAAGGTGGTAGCTGTTAGCTTAATTCAAGTTGCAGACATTTGACTACTTCTTGATTAACAACCAATAATGTATATAAGAGTTGCCTAATGTTTATGATTCCTGAATTTATAGAAAGTTGCACATGATACCATTGGTAGTTTCTTTTTGGAGCCGGTGGCTCAAGTCGTTGAGATTTCTTGAAATCTAGGGAGACTACCATGACAAGATGCTTAGTCAATCCAAAAATAGATCTCCATTCTTGTGCTTGGCTGCTAGCATTCTGTCTTAACTGATTCAGATTGCTGTTTTAGTTTCTTAATAGGCTTAAATATACATTTGGTACCTGAACTAGGTACCTTCTCTCAAGTTGTTACCTAAAGAATTTCCCCCCCACGTTGGTCCTTGAACTAGTCACCTTCACTTAAGTTGGTAATTAAAGAATTTTTGTTCCCAAGTTGGTATCCGAACTTTAATTACATCCTTTGTTTTGGTAATTTTATTTTTTGATAAAAATTGCAGGCCTCGTTAAAAACCCCCTTCTTGATTAATGGAGCTTGTAGGGAAGCTCCTTAATCAGCAGGAGGAAAACAGTGCCTTAAGATTTTATTTATCATAAGAAATTACATAAGATACAACAAGAAAAACACCCCAAATAGAAACATAAACACAAAATAACCCTAAACAACCATAAACAACAACACTAACTCAACCTATTCCTTCTTTAGCTAAGGCATCAACCTCTAAATTGGTTGTCCTATTTACCCATCTAACAACACCTTCTAGTACTTTAAGCCTATGAACAATATCTTTGACCATAAAAGCAAAGAACGACAACCCCTTTTGATCCGCTCTCGAAAATATGCAAAGAACGACAACCCCTTTTGAATAGCTTTTAATTCCATCAAGGTCGGAGGCCCCGGACCAGCAGATTCCTTGAAAGAGCCTAAGGTCAATCCCGAGGAATCCTTTAAGACTCCTCCTAACCCGCTTTTCTTCCAATCCCTTGTAGTAGCAGCATCAACATTTAATTTTACAAAGCCCTTAGGAGGAGGAGACCAAGGAAATATAGATACAATCTGATTATAATGGAGAGAACAAGAGTCCCCTAAGGAAGGATTTGAAATAAGTGAGTCCTTAGAAATAGAAACCTCTTTATGCTTTGCTAAGAACCAAGAAGAGAGCCTAAACCATGCTAAGAAGAAATATTCTGCCATATCTAACTTCCCCCCTTCAAACACAGTAAGATTCCTAATTTTCCAAGTGGTCCAAAGAACGACCCCTGGAATAAAAGACCATATTTGTGAGTTAGTCTTCAAAGCATCCCAAGCTAGAAGAAAGCTTTTAGCATTAGCATGAAAAACAGACTTGATCCTCCAAAAATTCATAAATTTGTTCCAAATAGACCACACCACCGAACAAGAAAAAAACAAATAAGTGGGAGACTCATCCACCATCTTGCAAAGAGGACATAACACGACTTTAATTCCTTGAACTCCTCTTCTAACAAGTTATGTCCTAACAGCCAGCTTTCCAAGGACAACCTGCCACAGAAATGACTCCACTCTTGGAGGCAGTTGACCCCTCCAAATAATCTTCTTCCAAAAATAGACCTCCTCTGAACCCAAAGAATCCGATGAACAGAGATTAACACCAGATCTTACAGTGTACACCCCATCCCCAGTACCTTTCCAAATCAACCCATCATAAATTTCCATAGATAGGGAAAAAATCGAAATGACAGCCATCAAATTACTCCACTGCTCAAATTCTCAATCATTTAAGTTCCTTCTAAACTGCACATCCCAAATCCAGCCCGAAGTGCTATATTCACCAAATTCAAATAATTTGCCAATCTTGTTGGTGGAAATAGAAAACAATCTAGGAAAAATGACCAAAAGAGGATGATCCATAGCCCAAATGTCTTGACAAAACTGAATAAATTTACCATCTCCAACTAGAAAAGTACATATACTTCTAAACTTGGAGCCAATAAAGTCATCCTTGAAGTGATTATTCACCACTAATCTCCAAATCCAAGAAACTTTCTGTGGGATCTTACTGTCAAACATTAACAAAGATGAATCCAGTTTATATTTAGAACAAATAAATTCCCTCCAAACATACTCCCTTTCATTTGCAAACCTCCATGACTATTTTTCTAAAAGTGCTCTATTCATCAAGTTAAGATTTAGAACACCGAAACCCCCCTCATTCTTTGATTTGCACACATTAGACCAGCTAACCCAATGAATCTTGTTTTTACCATTTCCCCCTCCCCATAAGAAGTTAGACATAATTGAGTTGAAGGTTTTTAGAACCGAAGCTGGTATCTTAAACAATGACAAGTAATATGTTGGAAGCAAACATAGAACCGACTTAATCAATACCATTCTCCGTGCTAATGAAAGAGAAGAAGCCTTCCACCCATCTAGTTTGTTGAAAAAATTATTAAACACTGGATTCCAAAGAGCTGCAGAATTCCTAGTAGCCCCCAAAGGAAGCCCTAGATAATCAGAAGGAAAGCTGCCAACTGAACATCCGATAGTGTTTGCCCACTCTTGAACTTCCTCTTCATTCAAATTAACATCAAACAATTTGCTTTTCTTCATGTTCAGCTGTAAACCAGATATCACTTGAAACACACGAAGCACCCTCTTCACATTCAGAATCTGCATTTTCGAGGCACCACAAAAAATAATGAGATCATCCGCAAACTGTAAATGAGATAAATTAAAAGACCCCTCATCCCTGCCAATAACCAATCCAGAAAACAACCACTGTGCAACGGCCTTTAAAATCAGTAAATTGAGCAGTTCGCCTATAAAATTAAACAGCAATGGGGATAAGGAACATCCCTGTCTAAGTCCCTTTGCCATTGAGAATTCCTCAAAAGGAACTCCATTAACTAAAACCGAAACAGAAGCTGTGGTTACACATTTTCTAATCCACTCTCCTCCTATAAGATTGGACCACGTGTTAATGATGATGTCATCATGTGTGGTTAAAAATCTTTAAATTTTGTTTAAAAAATATTTAAAGTACCAAAATAGTGGATGCAATTAAAGTTCTGGTACCTACTTGGGAGCAAAACAATTTTAGGTGGAAAAGGTGCCTAACTCATGTAGCAAATGTATATTTAAGCTTTCTTAATAAATTGCATTAGATATATAGATTTGTGGCAGTGTATAACCCTCTCTAATCTGCTTTTATATAGATTATGAATAATATGCTGTTCATTGCCAGTTATTTGATCTTCTGGCCCTGAAGACCCACGGTATTGTACAATCTTCTTAGGTTTTCTTCAATGCTAAACGGTTCATATCATGTTATATATGTTTAGGTATTTCATTGTTTTGGCCAGTACTTCTGTCTCCATTTCGAAGCCTTTCAGCTCGGGATGGCCCCTGTTTACATGGCATTCCTTCATTTCATGGGTGACGAGATTGAAGCCCGCAACTCCAGTTATAGCCTAGAAGTCGAGGGGAATGGAAGAAAACTCATTTGGGAAGGCACCCCAAGAAGCATAAGAGATGGCCACCGAAAGGTTAGGGATAGCCATGACGGCCTTATTATTCAGCGTAACATGGCGCTTTTCTTCTCGGGAGGGGACAGGAAAGAGTTGAAGCTGCAAGTAACAGGGCGGATATGGAAAGAACAACAAAACACAGAAGGTGGTGCCTGCATACCCAACCTTTGTAGTTAGAATGTCACAAATGGATCCCTGCTGCACACCCCATGAGATAGCCTGCCATTTATGTCAAAGATTCTTGAATTCTGTATGGATATCGAAGACGTAAGCCTTCTCCATTGTTAACAATAAGCTTTTTTAGCTTTTCTTTTAGTTGAAAAACGTTGTATATATTCTGCCTTCTCCACATTTGGTTTCCTTTGAAGACTAAGCCTGCTGATGTATCAGCTAAACTGTGTAGCCTATAGGGTGTCCCCTTTGTGTCTTACTATTTTTGTAATTGGTCGGCAACGACTCGAGCCAATGATGATTTGATTACCTTGATTTATGGTGTAAAGTTAATCATACTCCGGCTAAATGTACTGACGATCTTTGCAACTTTAGAATGCCTCTGTTACCGATATGATGAACTTAACAGTTCTGCAAACTTAAAACATGGAACATATTCATGCAACGATAAGATAAAATGAAAACCATGTCTTCATTTTAAATCTCAGAAGAACAATAAAAGAATTCTTGAAAAAATCGATTCAATAAATGTGAATCAAGGCCTAAACTCAAGACGCTTTTTCTAAGTGTCATAAAATAGAAAATTACACGAAAAGTTGAAACCGTTGTGCTTCAAAACCAGTCTACGGGACAGGACCATTTGAGGTAGGCATGTAAAATGGACAAACAACTACGATGATGCAACAATCTCATCAAGACGCGATCCATGATCTGTGATAGTTTTTTTTGAGAAATGCAGCTTACTTGCATTAGGGCACACACAATCCTCGGCCTCTTGTACGATTTGCTCAATCACCGATTCCTCGTTCAAGTTCTCTCTGCACATTATACTTCCGATGAGAAAGGGACTGAGCCCTCTCGATGCACCCTTTTTGAGAAGCATGGTGGAGATGCGGAGGGTACGTGCACATTTAGGTGGCATATCCCATCCAAGGTATTTCAAAAGGGCAATATCTTTTTCAGCATCAAGAGATTTTATATAGTCAACTATCTCAGGCAAGTAAGATTGGCGAGCTTGAGGACAATACAACCAGTCAAATGTGCAATCTTCAAACTGTACAAAAAAAATATACATACAGCCACAATAGTGATTAGCCTTGAAAACACAACAAAAGATAACACTGGGGAAAATAAGATTGCAAAGACCAAAACACATATATAACATGAATTTAAAATGTTGTGAAAGAACAATAACGTGTAATGAAACTCACAGGCACTCTACAAGGCAAAAAAAGGAGAAGAAAAGAAAACATAATCGAGCAGGCAGCATAAATCAGCTTGCTAGATTTTATGTACTTGGTCGACTGGGAAAGACCTAGGGCCCATATCCTCAAAACTTCCGCTGTTCTCCACAAACATCTGCAATGATCCAATCTTTACTTTTGGTGAATTATTAGGATTGTTAAACCCACTATGCAAACACTTGACCATAGCAGTAGTAGGGACTCTAGCAAACCCCTTCTCGTCACCATATATTGTACTTCGCTTATTTTTAGGATGATCCAAAATATAAGCTGCAACTTCCCTGAATGCTCCTTTTCCGACTCGTGTACCTTTTATCAACCCTTCACCATCTGGTGACATTGGTAGTTCTCAATGATTGTTACAGCCAAAGGCTCCTCATCAATTGGCTTAAAAACAGCAACAAACTTTTGGCCTGATGAATCCTGCATGAAATAGGCTCCTCCAGTACCCTCTATAGACCTGATTGGACTTCTTCCGCTACATAATCCATCAAATGCGGAGTTAATCATTTCCACAATCACTGAAGGCAATTCAACTTTAGGATTAACAATAACAGGCTCCAATGTAAAGTCCCTGTCAGGATGTTTCCTTGGTACAAGTTGTCTATCAGCTTCATATCCTTTGCTATAATTCTTTCCACCACCCATATCATATTGTACATCAGTCTCAACAAAGTCATTATGTCGCTTATCTTTCAGTTCTGGTGCCGCAATAGACAACTCAAAACTTTTCCCAACAGGCTTAGCCCTAACTTTGACAGATTTTCGGACCAATAAAGGCAACACGGCATCATTATGCTTACATATATCATCAATAAGCCTCTGATCCTCTAATCGCACCCCATCACAAAGAACATCTTGCTCATCAAGATTAGTAAACCCTTTCAACAATATGCCGATTCACATAACCAACATCACATCCACGTCCTCGCCGGACGTGAAATGTAAAATCTTTCCCACACCAAGTCTTAACATTAATGACCTGAAGATCGGAAAGCCTAAGAACCAAGTGTAGAACATTCCCATCGTTAACGCCGTAGTCACGAACAAGGGAATTGCTCCGTGACAGCTCCCGGCCTCCACAAACCAACTTCTGATTCTTCACGACAAAACTTTTACAGGTTTGGATGCGCAGCTTCAAGGATTCGATAGAATTCGATTCCAAAATCCGTATTGGAATCATGGACCCAAAAAACGCCAAATATACCCAAATAGATTCACTCTCGCGATGATCCAACTCGAGGTCCACATGACTGGGAGGAATCAAAGGTTCATTTGGAATCGGAACAACCGCAAGACCAGCGGACGACATTTTTTAACAGTGAACTGTTGAATAACAAAGAGTTCTCGACACTCCAGAGAGACAACACTAGAAACACTTACACTAACTCTGTAAAAAATCACAATAGTTGTTCCATTCCTTTTAGCAATCTAATAACTCTATCCAAACGAGAGAAGAAAAAAAACACAATTCAGGCTTAAGGAAAATACCCCAAGCCCGAGAAAACGAAACCCTAGGCACCAGAAACGAAAAATTTAAGGAACACAAAGCTCAATTCATCTTCATTCTAAGATTGGTTTAGGGATTGGATGTACGGAAACTATGAACAAATGGAAAATGAAAAAAATGTGTATATAAAACGAAAGATAGATTCTTAACGGAATGAAGAAGCGAAGAGAGGAGGAAGCAAGATAGTGAAGCTTTGAAGCGATAAATCAAATTAAGTAATTCAAATTTGCTTTTTTGGGGAGCCGATGGTTATGGGGAAATTAGTTTTTGCTGAAGGGAAGAAGAAGAAGAAGACCCGTGGACGAGCCGTCTCATTTTTATAGGTAGCCCGTAAACTTGTAATGGTAGAATTGACTTTTGACCATTTTTCATTTTTATTTTTTAAAATGGTGTTGGTTGGATGTATAAGAAACGACCGGTTAAGGAAAATTAAAAAATATTAAAAATACTTTCTTAAAAAAATATTTTAAATTGAGTGTAACATTTAAAAAAAATATTTTATTGTACACATTTTTAATAATATTTTTGATTCAACAAAAAAAAAAGTTAAAAATTAACATTTTAAGTTATACTTATTAATATTTTAGTTTGCACTTAATCAAAAAATTTAAAAAATTTCATTACGACTTTACTTAATTTTAAATTAAGCCCACCGTACAACAGAATTACCCATTATTAATACATGGAATTAAACTTCAAATTTGTATATAAAACATTATTTGTGTAGAACTACAAATTTCACTTCTTCTTCTCCTTCTTTTGTAATTGAGATATTTTACCCGTCTTAATTGCATTATACGAACATGTAATTGATTTGTTTTAGTACATGGTGAGATTAAAATGTCAAAATAACACATTTTAATTAAAGATAAAAATAGATATTAAATTCGTAATGTAACCATGCAATGTTCATTTGGTTATGCACATCTTATAAAGCAACTTTTAACTGTTTAATATATCTATTTGAATATTTGAGATAACTTCGTTTGGAAGATGTTAATTAAACTATACTAAATATGTTGAATTTTAAACTAATTAATCTAATGAAGTTTGTATCTAAAATAAAAAGAAAATAAATTAATAATATCTAAGCGACCTATGATAAATAAATAATAATAAAAATATATATCAACACTTATCGAGACTCATTTCAATTGAGAGAAAAAAAAACAGAAAAAGGAATAAAAGAAAGAAAGAGTTTAGACGTCAAAAAGAAGGAAAATATACGGTTATATAATATTTGTATTGTTCTTTTATTTTAACGTATTGTAAATTTATTTAAATTATTCACATATTTTAATATTTTAGATATCAATAAATATATGCTATAATCATTATTGTCTTTGCCACGTATATTATAATTATAATTATAATTGTTATCTTCCACCTTGCCAAGGTTTCTCATTGTTTATTTGTTTTTTAATTTATTTATATTTTTATATATAAGTTAATTGCATCTCATGTTCTCAAAGTATGACCTTTAAATTTTCCCTAAACTTTTAAATATTTAAATTTCATTCCTAAACTATAACTATCATTCTAAATTAGTCCTTAAACTTTTGAAATTTTCATTTCCATCCTAAAACTGTGACATCCATTCTAAATTGGTCCCAAATTTTTTTGAACATTTCGATTTTAACCCAAATTATATGTATATAGTAATCACATCCCTTGCTAATAAATTCGTTAGGCCAAGTTATATTATTATATGTTTGAAAAAATAAAATTTAGGTTAAACTATGTTGAAACTAATTAAATACTGGAATGGAAATTTTGGGATGAAACTGGAAGATTCACCAATTTAGAAAGAGGGACATAGTTTAGGGATTAAATTAGAATGTTCAAAAGTTTAAGGATTGATTTAAAATGAGAGTCGTAGTTTAAGGATGAAATTAAGATAATCAAAAGTTTAAAGATTAATTTAAAACGAGAACTATAATTTAGGGATATGTGATGCAATTAACTCTTTATATATAGTTTATATTATTATTGGGTTTTTTTCTTCTTCAAAATATTATGTGTATTACTTGATTTTTTTATTTCTATATGAATATTTTGACATGTTTATGCATATTTGATTACACTACATGTTATGTTTTATATATCTTATTTATAGTCCATGTTAGATAGTAGTTTATAAGTTTAATTTGTTTTACATAAATTTTGATGTATTTAAATATTTCACATGAATCAAATTATATTAGTGATTAAATGAATGATTGTTATCTTTAGTGATTCATAATTAGAGCATCATAGATTATAAGGGTATTTGAGTTTTCATTGTTAAATAATAGAAAATCTTTAAATTAAATAATACATTGTAACCCTCCTAGATTAATAAAAAGTATTTTTATCTATCTATTCAATCATTCTATTTTATGTTATATGATATATCTTAATAATATTTTATTTTATTTAAAAATATATTTTTCTTACTAATAGAATTTTATCTATAATTTTTATTTAATAATATAATAATATAAATATTATGATAATTAAAAATTCAATGTGATTTTGTGAAATCTAAGCCATGAATAATTCTAAAATTGAACGCACTTTAAAATTTGGTTTCGCGCGTCGCCACAAGCCATAAATTTTGCTCCAGATCCAATCTCCCTCCACCTTTCCAGTATTTGGAGCCAAAACACGTCGCTATCCCGCCAAGGCCCACACTTAAAGCAATAATATATTTACCCTATCGGCCCCTTAACCCTGTTATTAAAACCTATTAAATATAAACTAATCTAGCTACGTAGTTTTCGCCTCCGCTCACTTAATCCCAACCCTTCTACAGGTTACAATATCTTTCCCTATTTCATTGTGTCTATAACAGATGAAAATTCACATCAACGTGAAATACCCCTTTGCCTGTTTGTGTTTAAATTTTAATCCTCAAATTCGAATTTTCTTCTCATTGAAACACTGATGATTCGCGGGAAGAACGTGCGAATTTTATAGCTTCCTTTTGTTGTTCTTTTGTTGTGTGGGTTTCTCTCTCTTTAGGGTTTCAATATTGGATTCCGCTTGTGCGACCATCAATTTGAATTTAGTTCAACGGGGCTTTGCTTCGATGTAAAAAATCAGGGTTTTGATTGACTCGTGTATATAGATAGAGATGATAATTAAACAGAAAGGGAATCTTGGAATGCCAAGTATGAAACGCTGCAAGATGGAAGGGGGGAGCTACGATGACTGCGGGGAAGAAGAAATATATTACGGTTACGACGGTAATCCCAAGAGATTGAAATCGAACGGTTATTATTCCTACGGCGACTTAGAAGATTTCAGTAGCGCGGGCTATTGGAGCAGCGAGGAGTCGTACTGGGCCGGTGAATTGGAGTCTAATTCAAGGAAATTGAATAAAGCAAAGCAAACTAAAAAGAGCTCCAAGAAGAATTTGAAGCCTCCATTGTTGAAATCATCTAGAGGAAGAACTCAAATGCTTCCTTCTAGATTCAACGATGCCGTTCTTGATTCATGGAAAAGTAGAAAACTCAGGGTCGATTACACGGATTCGAGCTTGGAGGACGATGAGTTTGATGGGTCTGGATATATGAAAGATAAGTTCGGATATGGAAGCTCGGATTTATATCTAATTAGTAAAAGAAGAGAGGAAAGAGGAATTGATTATGCAGGGATCAATAGTAGTTACAGTAATGGTAGTTATTTGAATTCTTCTCCAGCATTGCTTGAAACAGACGAGTTTGTGGCTTGTAATGGATATAAGGGCTTAGAGAGGTTAAGAAAAGATAGAGCCGGAAAAAGGAAAGATATGTATAAGCCAGAGGATTTTGCTTTGGGTGATATAGTTTGGGCTAAATGTGGGAAGAGATACCCTACATGGCCGGCTATTGTGATTGATCCGATCTTGCAAGCTCCTGAATCTGTCTTAAGTTGTTGCGTTCCTGGTGCTCTTTGCGTTATGTTTTTTGGGTACTCAAAAAACGGAACACAGAGGGTAATCTCATCTCATATGTTGTTTTTGTTGTTTTGTGTATGGCGGTATACTGATTTCTTTGAACTTGCAAGCAGGATTATGCGTGGGTGAAACAAGGAATGATATTCCCGTTTGCTGAATTTATGGACAGGTGTGTACTTTGTAGTATAGATAACTATTATCGGCTGACTGAACTAAGGCTGTGTTTAGAAAGCCACTGAATAATTGGATTTGGATGTAATTACTTGTAAATACATAGGCATGATATGTTTCTGTAATTGTTGTAATCATTATAATGAGTGGGTCGTACTAAATTGAGTTTAATTGAAGCACTCTATTAACTTGCTCCAATCCCTGTAAGGGGTGAAGAATTAGAAGAAAACTAGAAAAAAAAAAGAATTATTTTGTTTTTAAGTTGTGGGTTTTAGTGAATTGAGTGTAATTACATATTGTCAGTAAAACACTTTTAGGTGATTAGAATTTCTTATAGTTACCAAAGGATGTTGTAAAAACTCACTCAGTGGTGAATATTGACCATCGTGAAGTATAGAGATGCTATTCACGCCCAGGGGGCATTCCAGATAGAATTTACTACCTTGTTAATACACTTATTTTGCAATTACCGTGTTGTTTGTCCTAACAAGCTCTTACGTGTTTTGAAAATAATGTGTTTCTAATGGTCCTGAAATTTTCCTAGTTCAGATATCAGGGGCAGACCCAGTTGTACAAGTGGAAGCAAAGTGATTTTCAGATGGCATTGGAGGAGGCAGTTTTAGCAGAAAATGGTTTCATAGACTCAGAACATAAGACCCAACAAATAGGATACCCAGATGCTCAACCCAGTTGTTCAAGTCAGGATCTTGACTGTTTATCCAACCACAACCAGGCAAGTTTACCTAGAATAAATTTTCTTGTATTTATGAGCTGATCTTCACAGCACCAATAGTTTAGTGGGTATCTGATAATTTCATTGATTTAAGTGACACGTGATTTGTTAAAAGTCTAATATGGGCTACTTAGGTTGGATATTTCTTTCCTTTTCCATAATTTTTTGGGTCTAAGTACTCTGGTTTCCTCCATTTTGGCTTATAGGACTTGCAAAGTAGTTTATGTGTAAGAATGCCTTGATTTGTGCAGGATGCAAGACCCTGTGATAGCTGTGGCTCAGTTGTTCCATTAAAAATTTTGAAGAAAATGAAGAAATCAGCATATGAGGCCGAGCTTTTGTGCAAACATTGTGCTAAGGTTAATAAAAAGACCCTTTTGAGGATGCAAGTGTGTTTGAATTTGAACATCAATACAACTTTAGTTCTTAAAATGTTGTTTACCTTCCATTACAGCTGCGGAAATCCAAGCAGTATTGTGGCATATGCAAGAAGATTTGGCACCATTCAGATGGTGGTGATTGGGTAGGATATATGCAACTAAGTGCAACTAATTTGAGTATTTTCATTAAACATTTACATATTATGAGATTGTGTTTTGACCCATGGATTAGGTCTGCTGTGATGGATGTAATGTGTGGGTTCATGCTGAATGTGACAACATTAGCAGTAAACTTTTCCAGGTGTGCTTATTAAATCCAACTTGCCTGTTTTTAGGTTTATGTTTCCCTCTTATATTATCTTGTACTTGAAGTCGTTAGTACTGACATGGTTATTGTTTGAAGGATATGGAGAGCATTGATTATTTCTGCCCTGAATGTAAAGCAAAGTTCAAATCTGAAGCATACTCAGTGAAAAGAGGGCCAAAAATCAAGCATACTGGTCCAATGTGTGTTTCTTCCTTTTGTTTACATATTTTTTAATGGAATCACCTGCTTCATTTATAACTAATGATGTGATGAAAAACTGAAACAGATCTGGAGAAAAAACAGGGGAAAGTGTTCTTCCTGACAAGTTAACTGTAGTCTGTAATGGTATGGAAGGATCATATCTTCCAAATCTGCATTTGTAAGTCCTGAAAAGCTTGAAATTCTTTGGAGTAGGCTAAAGTTGGTTGTCAACTATTGTTCTTCCATCTACTATTTGTTCTTATGTAAACTATCCATCATGTTCTAGAGTTGTATGTGAGTGTGGTGCATGCGGGTCAAAGAAGTATACACTCAGTGAATGGGAGCGACATACAGGTTGTAGAGCGAAAAAATGGAAGTATAGTGTGAAAGTCAAGGACACAATGACACATCTGGAAAAATGGGTCTGTTCTGGTGTTTGTAATTTTGCTTTTCTTTAATGTTATTATTATTGATGGTTATATCCTAAGCTAACATGCATTATATCCACATGTTATTTCTGTGCAGATTGTTGAGTATAACGCCTTTGGTGTTCATGCTATGAAGCTAGATAAGCAGAAGCTAATTGGTTTTTTGCAAGGTAAATGCCTTTCTGAAAGGGCTTTTTTCTCTTGAAGTTCTTTTTAATAACCTATTTTTGCCTTGAGTTAATGAGTTAGTGACTTTCAAACTAATGAAAATTAACTATAATTTTCAGGAAAATATGAGCCTGTTGATGCAAAATGGACAACAGAAAGATGTGCTGTGTGTAGATGGGTTGAAGACTGGGATTATAACAAAATTATTATTTGCAACAGGTATTTTAATTATGCACCAATTCTTGATATTGACTTTCATGCCATTTTATAATTCCAAATTTTTAGAAAGAGATTTTTCTTTTTTCAGATGTCAAATAGCTGTTCACCAAGAATGCTATGGGGCAAGTGATGTTCAAGATTTGACTTCTTGGGTTTGTAGAGCTTGTGAAACACCTAATATTGAGAGGGAGTGTTGCCTTTGCCCTGTTAAAGGTATATCACCTAAAATTAGTTTTTGCTCTCATTTATTCATTGCTAGATTCATTGTTCATATATGCAGTTATGTAGATTGAGAAGATCCTATCAGAAAGCACCAATGTTTGCTATCTGGGAAAGATTATGTGGCAGGGGCTGGGGTATTACATACCAGTATAATTTTGGGGCATTTAATTGGGGCATGTTTGATAACCAATTGAAAAATGGCATGTTTGATAATCTAAAACTAAAACTATCTGTTAGAATTATTTCAATGAAAGGTATGGAAAATGTTAAGTGGATTAGGATCTACTTGTCATTTAATGGAGTATTTTTCAACACTTCTTTATTTTATAATCATTTCTTTTAATTATACTATTCTTTAAAACTTGCATTTATTAAACGATCTAATTATATACAGTATTTAAAATTAAGCAAAATACCAAACCGATTTATGATTTAAATTCAACACTTAGTTTTTCAGTTTATCAAACAACACTTTAGTCGCAATGAAATATAAATGGCAGTCAACTCATATTACTTCTTGCCATCAAGTCACTTTTGTGATTTATTTTAGCAACTTAAATAGCTATTTGTAGGCAGGGGTGATTTTTTTTTTTTGGTGTGGGGGGTAGGTACTGGCCTTGGCCACCCAAAAATGGAAAATTTTATGCTCTAGTCCCTTTAGATTTATACAATTCTAAAATTTCATATTGGCTCCTCCAAAAAAATATTAATTCAGTTTTGACCCCTTAAGATAAAAATTCTAGTTTTGTCCTTGTTTGTGGAGTTTGATTATTTCTTTCAGCAGTTTGTTCCTAAAATACGTAAATATGCTTTTCTAGGGGGTGCTTTGAAGCCAACTGACGTTGAGTCACTATGGATTCATGTCACATGTGCCTGGTTTCGGCCTGAAGTTGGTTTCCTGGATCATGAGAAGATGGAACCTGCTGTTGGGATCCTCAGAATTCCATCAACTTTGTTTTCGAAGGTGCCTTCCTAATGGAATCATCTTTCTAAACTATCATGACTTTTGAGAATTCATTTTTAAGATCCTTTTTTAACTATGTGAGAGGTCAAGAGATCTCATTGTTTTCTGCAATTAGTCATGGTTTCATCACAATGTTTCAATACATTTAATCTAAGTATGCTTTCATTGTGTGGATGACAGAGTTGTGCGATATGTAAACAAAGTCATGGTTCCTGCACTCAGTGTTGCAAGTGTGCGACTTATTTTCATGTGATGTGCGCGTCAAGAGCGGGATATAGCATGGAAGTAAGTGCTTTAAGCCTTTTATGTTTAGATTGAGGGAAAATGTTGGTCCCAGATTTCTGAGTTGAGTGTTAATTTGCAGCTGCGCTGCTCAGAGAAGAATGGGATGCAAATGACAAAAACATTCGTATACTGCTCTGCTCACAGGTTTGGATAGAGTCCCTTTTCTTTATCTTCTTTGTAAAGAAGAGTCTACTTTTGGTTATGCTTTTGCATGTGTCACCCATATTGTTGGTATTGTATTCTCATATTTTGGTCTTCATTGTAGGAGCCCAAATCCAGATGCAGTTGTTGTCATGCATACTCCATCAGGGGTTTTTGTTGCCAGAAATGTTCTTCAGAATGTGAACCAATGTCTTGGAGGTTCAAGGTTGATTTCATCCAAGACTGCAGAGCTCCCTGGATCCCCAGCTCCAGTTCTCAGTGACATTGATGCATGCTCTGCTGCTAGATGTCGTGTTTTTACAAGTTCAATTTTTAAGGTAGATTCCAGGAATCTTTTGATGTGCTTTATTTTAAATTTTTTATATCAGTAGTATTTTCCGATTTGCTCTGATTATATCTTATACTTCCTGAACTTTTTTTAAAATTTCCTTGATGAAGGTGAAGCCATTAACTTTATGTGACTACTTTTTCCAATTAAGTAGGCCATTTTGATCGAATTAGAACTGTCTGCTGGTACTAATAACTTCATATGAAGCAAGCTGCAAATATTTGTGTAGTTTTATCTCTGCTTATACTATTCTTGTTGTTTGACAGGAGGCTGAAATGGAGCCAATATTCCACAAACCGAGTGGGCCAAGGCATCATCCAGCAGATGCATTAAGTGCATTGAACACAGATAAAGTACTATTCTTTCTTTAGTAGATATATTGGAGAATAGCTATCATTTTATCTTGCCTTCTGCTTCTTTTGGAATGATCAATGAGATTAATATCTTCATAAAAACATTGTCTTAAAACAGGAAGTGGATGATTCTATCATTTTCTCATCATTCAAGGATCGACTGTACCAGTTGCAGGTAAGCTATGGTTCTTGATCATGTCCAGCTGGTTATTTCTTAGTGATATAGTTTTTTAATTTAATTTTTGAATGTCTTTAGAGAACTGAGAACCACCGAGTTTGTTTTGGCAAATCTGGTATTCATGGATGGGGCCTCTTTGCACGAAGAAACATTCAGGAAGGAGAAATGGTGTATTTTTTGTACTGTGATATCTATTTCTGTCCATATCAAATCATGTACAATGATTTGGTGTGAAGTTGCATTTTGTCAAGCACTATAAATTTATAATGTTTGGTGTGATGATAATCAGCATGTGTATTTCAGGTTGTTGAGTATCGTGGTGAGCAGGTTAGGGGTAGTATTGCAGATCTTAGGGAGGCTCGGTACCATTCTGAAGGGAAAGATTGCTATGTAAGATTCTTTTAATCCCTGTCAATTTATGAGTGTGCAGCATCTGGTGTCTAAAGGGTTTAGATTTAGCCATCTCTATGAATAACCCCATGGTCGTTCACTATACAAATACTACTTAGATTATTGAATTAATAAGCAATTGCCGATATATATTGGCAGAATTTGGTTTTACAAACTTTAAGGTTTGATCATGCTGAAGTATCCATTTGACTGAATTGTTTGTATTAGCAAGTAAAATAATTGCAGAAGATTTAAACTTTTAGAAAACCTTCTTGATATTCTTACTGTAGATGGGATAAATTACTGGAATTCCTGAAAAATGATTTCATGCTAATGGTTTACCAAACCATCAGATATTAAACTGAATGCGGTTTAAGATAAATGTCCCTATATGTTAAGGCATTTATAAAACGGCGGAGGTTCTTTCATTTGCTGTATTTACTTGCTGCGGTGCCTTCTTAATTGTCTGTAAGTGATCATGCTTGACATACACTTTATTTCTGCCTAGGTCCATTTTTGTTGCTGCTGCCTTATTTTTAAATACTGATTTTTGATGATTATTCAACATGTAATGCAGCTGTTCAAAATCAGTGAGGAAGTAGTGATTGACGCCACCAATAAGGGGAATATTGCACGCCTAATCAATCATTCGGTATGACCTTAGAATTGGATTAATGCTATTGTTAATCATGTAGCATTGTGAATTCCTTTTTAGCATGTTGACAATATCACTGTTTTGCAGTGCATGCCTAATTGCTATGCGAGGATCATGAGTGTTGGGGATGAGGAAAGCCGGATAGTTCTTATTGCTAAGACAAATGTGTCCGCCGGTGACGAGCTAACGTAAGATTTTTGGATTCTTTTTTTTTTTCATTACTTTCTGTCATTATTTATTCATCCTAGGTACTCTTTTGTCGATTAATTACAATTCAGATGATATGAAATGTCATATGTATGATTTGTCTGACAGATATGATTATTTGTTTGATCCGGATGAGCTCGATGAACTCAAAGTTCCTTGCTTATGTAAAGCTCCCAACTGTCGAAAATATATGAATTAGGGTGACTGTGCTTACCATTTTTCTCTGGTATATAAAGCATTAAAGAGCTTCTGATGGGGAACCGAGCCTCTTCCCTCGGGGACAATTTTTGTGCATTTGATGGTTTCAGAACTGAAACAAATGAAGAATCGCAGTGTTTTTGTCACCATTCACTGGTGAATCTGTAATTCTTTTTTTTTTTGTCTCTTTGCCTCTTAGGCTCAATTGTTTGTGGTTATTCTTTTCAATAATTTGTAAATTTGTCAGCTTCTTTGGCCAGTGGCTTTAATAGAAAGTGTCGGTGCAGTTGCACCTAATACTATCTAAATATAATTTCTTGCAAAGACTTTTTTTGCTATTTATCATTGTTAGCTAAAAAATAAAGAAATTCTAATAATTAAATTGAAGATTGATAACTTGAACTTATAAAGAATGGATCGGCGGCAGCTTTAGTGATAAATATAATAAAATGAAGTTTATAATTTAATTTTAAAGTAATAATTAAAATTTTAAAAAATACGTATCATATTTTAATTTATTTTATTTAAAAATTAATAAAGATTTAAAACGTACTCAAACTGAAAAATAGTAGATTTTGATTTAATTTGTTTAATTTTAAAATTAAGGACTTAAAAGGTATGACAAAAAAATCAACTCTTAATTTAATTGATTCATATTTTTAAGAAAAACAAAAGATTTGGAGCCACTCGAAGCAGGAAACACGCTTGCCGCCAATTTACTTGTGTCGTGGATGGGACCTAGCAATCACCATATGTGTAGTTTGACTTTGTATTTAATGGAGTCTCATTGCTCCCCCTTTTATCCCGAGACATTCCACTTCTCCTAGCTTCATCCCTTTGTGAACCTGCATATCCGCATCTTCTTCTCTTTCCCCTTTCATATGCAGCAGCAGCAGCAGAGCCTTGTTCCATTACCAAGTGTGGCAAAAATGAAGTTCCTTTGCATCAACAAGGTAAACAACTGTGGGTTCCCTTTTCATCAGAACTACACGTTCCTTAGCTTTCCTATTCAAGTCTCCGTTTACCACCATTGGTTGCCTAAGCTACGTGACACGCTCCTTCTTGGCTGCTTCTTCCATTATTAGCCTTGCAAATAGAACAGCCTCCTCGTCATGCCGTATCCTCGATACATTGCTGATTCCCGTTTCGTGACCGGTAAAGTCAGAATAAGACTTTGCAGATGAACTTGATGCTGAGTCGCTGACATTCAGCTAACATGGTATGCACCTGACTGCGGCCAGTGCGAGACACAAGGCGGCAACTGTGGGTTAAAGAACAACAGTAGTGAAGAAATTGATTGTTTTCTTCTTCCTAAATCAAGTAAGGCTCTTCCTTGAAATCTCCGATCATCTCATTTTGCATTATCCACTTAACATCGCACATCCAGGTCACCTTTTCAGTATCTCGAGATGATTTTCTTTTAGTGTTTTTTTATTTTGAATTAAAAAGAAGGCCAAGGCCAAAACTATGCAGTAGCTATTCTGCAATACGGGGGACCAAAAGTGTCCATGGATAAGAGCTCATGGAGATGCGATGGAGGCGTGTTGAAGGCACAAAGCTGGAACGAATCTGGAGAGTCCATTTTCGCGACAGCATCTGCAATTTTATTACATTCGCGTAGTATCCATACAAGGTCTGTCACCCAACATCTTTGTCTAATCCAGTGGATAGCACGAGGAAAAGGACTTTGGTTAGCAGATGCGGCTGTGGTTAGTTTGATGGCAGTAGAGGAATCCGATTGAAACTGCAGAAATTCAAAGCCAAGGGACCAAACAAGTTGGAGGCCAATAGAGATGATGCAATTACATTATCTTTTGTTGCTCTTGTTCGATTTATAGAGGATGACCCACTATTATAATGTCAACTAGATCGAAGAATATTGGTTTTATATAGAATCTCTCATATACTACGGCTCAGACAAGGTTGTCTCTTATATTAAATTTGCAATGGTCTACTGTTTTTTTTCCTACAACCCAAAAGTCAGAAGCTTCTAGATTTTGCTTGTGTGGAAAATCCCCAGCTTCCAATAAAAAAAAAAATTGAGGACTGTCAGCCCAATTGGCCTTATAATGTTTATATCTAATCAAATGTCACAATTTCCAGTTGATATCTTATTTCATTCGGAACCGGTGAAGGTCTAAAAGTTTTCAGAATCATCTGCTTGTGTAAAAACACTCAAATGAATTATCTTTGCGTGCTGCCTTGATAATCGGTCGTGCCTAGAGAAATCCTGTGCAGCGGGACAACAGTCCGGCAGCAGTATTGCTCAACCCGTGGTTGTCGTTACGGGGCAGAATGAATCCATGATTGATTCGTATGAAAAATTGGTGCTCGGAACAACAGTCCGGCTGGCGTTTGATGATGTAAACTCGGAAACTTCCTCTTGTTGGATATATGGACTACAAAATCACACCGTTAGCACTGACAGGAAAGATAAGTAGTAATTTAAAAAGAACAGATTCATAAACCGTGTCGTGGTAAAACTACTGTATTAGAAACGAATTCGCCCCGATGTGTGTAATCGCTGTAGTAGGCGGACCGTTCCCCCGAGGTTAACACGACTCTCCAATAATTCGTACACCCGAAAACTAGAGTAAACTTGGTGGTGTTGCTCTTCTCTCAATTCAAACAACACTCAAAAGATATGAGTGTTTCAAAACAAATATTTACTTGGGATATCTCAAAATGAATGAAATTATCCACTATTTATAGGCTAAACAGTGAGGACAAAATCGTCATTTCCAAAAACATATTTTAATTCTATTAAACATAGTGGGATAATCATCATTCAATACTAGTGGGATAACCACTATCCAATACTAGTGGGATAACCATCATCCAAATACGAGTGGGATAACCACTATGAGCATTATCAACATTCACAACTAATGCGAAAGATTTCTTCTGAAATATGAGAGCAATAAAGTTAAATCACGAGAAGAGCAATAGCGAGATTAGTTGCTTAAGCACTAGTGAGCGTATCTGGAACTAGTACATATTTATGATGAGCAATCCTTCTCTTAGATAAGTGAAATTAGTCTTGAACTTTCTAAGATGGGGATAAACTCATAACACACAACTAACCCTTTCATCCACCAAAATCCTCAATGTGTCTACAAAGAGTATATACAAAAGTGTACTAGAAAAACGGCCCAACGTTTTTCATAGAAGGTGGCTAATCCTTCTCACTTACGTAGGTTATTTCATCAAGTTTATCTCAACATAAACCACTCAAACTAAGCTATGAAATAATTAAGAGCTTTTATAATAGCTCAACCTCACAAAGGGTATGGTGACTTTCTTCAAGTTCATTAAAAATGAACCACCCAAACTCTAGATAAGAAATCATTAAAAATAAATATTCAACCTCATAATTCGACGAATTCAATATGTCATTATCACTAGAAACTCCCAAACTCTTGGGTTTGAATTCATTAAGAGTTTAATAAAACTCATCATCTCAAGCGGTAAGTTCATCTAGTCCTTCGCGATTAGAACTACCCACTCAACTCTGGGTTATGAACTTATTAAGAATAGATACTCAACCAAAAATCGGTAAATTCATCAAGTCTTTCTCACTAAGACCACCCAAAGCCTGGGCTATGAATTTATTAAGAGCAATTAAGCTCATCCTGGGCATACACTTTATTCATCATAGGGATAGACAGTAGGAATGTGCACTATGAGTCTTTCCATGGTTTCGTTTGACCACGTGGAACTTAGATAACTAAGTTGGGGGTATCCATCATGAATTCCTCAACCAATGGGCTTTAGACCCATCCCCCTCGACGAATCTAGGACCAGTTTCCTACTTAACCCTTTGGTAAGTGGATCTGTTAGGTTCATTTCCTACTTTACATACTCTAAAGAGAGCACTCCATTCTTTATTAAGTGTCTAACTGATTCATGTCTTATGCGAATGTGTCTCTTCTTACCATTGTAAGCTTGGTTCTTAGCCACACATATCACAGCTTGTGAATCACACAACAAAGAAACTGGAGGAGTCGATCTTTCCCACAACGGAATATCTGCTAACAAGCTTCTGAGCCACTCGGCTTCTTTCCCAGCTGGTCAAGAGTTATAAACTCTGACTCCATGGTAGAACGAGCAATACAAGTCTGCTTTGATGATTTCCACGATATTGCTGCTCCACCTAAAGTAAAAACATATCCACTCATCATTATCAGAAACCCAGTTGGCATCACAATATCCTTCCAGTACCGCAGGAAAGCCAACAAACTCAAGTTTCCAATCCAAAGTACCCTTAAGATACTTCAGTAAGCGTTTAAGAGCAATCCAATGTTCACCACTCAGATTATGAGTATGTCTACTCAGTCTACTCACAGCATAAGCAATATCAGGCCGAATATAGTTCATTAAGAACATTAAGCTTCCGATTAATTTAGCATATTCTGTTTGGGAAACACTACTTCCTTTATTCTTAAAGAGATGTATGCTAGGGTCATAAGGAGTTCGAACAGGGACGACATCAAAACTGTCAAATTTCTTTAGCACTTTCTCTATATAATATGTTTGATTTAAATAAAATCCCTTTTCAGTTTTGGTAATTTTGACTCCTAAGATTACATCGACTTCTCCCAAATCTGTCATCTCAAACTTTGTGGACAAGAAACTCTTAACTTTGTTAATGGACTCAATGTTAGAACTGAAAATCAACATGTCATCAACATACAGACTTATGATGACACATTCAGTGCCAAACATCTTCGAATACACACAAGCATCTGAACCATTCACAACAAAACCAAAAAAAGAATAGTTTTATGGAATTTCTCATACCACTATTTAGGAGCCTGCTTAAGTCCATAGAATGACTTTTTCAGTCTACAGACTTTGCCTTCCAAAACAGGTGCTTCAAAACCTAGTGGATGCTCCATGTAAATCTCTTCATCTAGATCCCCATTCAAGAAAGCAGTCTTAACATCCATTTGATGTACCTGCAGCTTATGAATAGAGGCTAGCACAAATAATGCACGAATCGTTGAGATTTTCGTAACGGGAGAGTATGTATCAAAGTAGTCTAAACCAAACCTTTGAGTGAACCCTTTGACGACTAACCTTGCCTTGTACCGCTGAATCGAACCATCTGGCCTCAGTTTCTTCCGTAAGACCTATTTGTTGCATATTGGTTTGAATCCCTTAGGCAAGTCAACTAATTCCCAAGTATGGTTAGACATTATCGATTTTAGTTCATCATTAATAGCACTTTTCCAGAAACTAGCATCGATAGATCTTATAACATCTTCAAAAGTTTTACGATCCTCATCTAACAGAAAAATTTGAGTTATAGGATCTGAAATGGAGTCTAAATCATTTATCACATAAATAAAGGAAGTAATAAAGTCTGGTCCAAAAGAGGTTTCAACTCTTTGCCTTTTACTTCTTCTAGGCTCAAAAATAATTTGTTCATAAGACCTAATAGGATTACTATAAGAAGTGGATGAAATATATTCTATTTGTCTCGGTTCCTTTAAAGGAAAAGTATTTTCAAAGAAAACAACATCTCTTGACTCACAAATAGAATAATCTTGTAAAATCATGAATCTGTATGTAACACTATTCTTAGCATACCCTATTTGTCCGATGGTGGACTTCTTAAAGTCCGGCAAACCCACTTTGGCCAGACACCCCCACACTTTCAGGTATTGTAAATTAGGAGCGTATCATTTACTCAATTCATATGGGGTAAAATATAATTTCTTGTGAGGAACTCGATTCAAGATATGAGTTGCAGATAGAATGGCTTTCCCCTACATGTTATCAGATAACCATGAACTTATTAGTAAAAAATTCATCATCTCTTTTAAAGTTCTATTTTTCTTTTCGTCTATACCATTTTGTTGAGGAAAATAGGGGGCTGATGTTTCATGAATTATGTCATTCTTTTCACAAATATCTTTTAAGAAATTAGATCCATATTCACCATATCTATCAGATCTAAACCATTTGATTCTCCTATCTAACTGATTTTCAACTTCTGCCTTATAAATAAAAAAGAAGTTTTCAGCTTCATCTTTAGTTTCAGTGTTTCTAAAATCTGCTAAATCAGTATGAATGAGTTCTAACAACTCAGTCTTTCTATTAGAAATAGTCTTAAATTGAGGTCTAGTATGCTTAGCTTCTATACAAGTTTTACATTTGTTAAAGCTAGTTATGTCTAGTTTAGGCAGAACATTCATATTTATCAATTTCTTTAAAGCATGAATATCCGCGTGTCCTAATCTAGAATGCCACATATAAATGGATTCAACAATATAAGCAGAAGTGATAGCTTTATTTTCATTAAATTGAGTTTCTATGACAAATAAACCATTGTTTAAAAAACCTTTCCCAATATAATCACCATTTCGAGAAAGTACAAGTTTATATGCCTCAAAAACTAACTTAATACCTGCCTTATTCAGAAGCCCACCACTTATCAAATTTCTACGCAAGACAGGTACATATAGAACATTATTTAAGGCCAGAGTTTAACCAGAAGTCAGCTTAAGTAAAACCTTGCCTTTGCCTAGCACTTCAGAGCTGCTAGAGTTTCCCATGTACACACGTTCACCTATGTTCCCATCCTCGAATTCGGTGAAAAACTCATTCCTTGCGCAGAAATGCTTCGAAGCGCCAGTGTCAACTACCCATTCCGAACTGTTTTCCACCAGATTAACTTCTGAGACCACCGCAACAATGATTTCAACATCTTTTCTACAACGTGCATCTGTGACTTATTGTCATTCTGGCGGTCTGAGCGGTGTTGGCACTGGTAAGCTTTGTGACCGGCTAAACTACAAACATAGCACTTGAACATCTTTCCTTCAGGTTTGGCCTTTCCTGACTTCTTGAAGTTGGTAGCCTTCTGAGGTTTTGTCTTCTTGTCTTGATTCCCTCATTTCTTGAATCTAGACTCAATCAAGTTAGCTCTAAAAGATAAATTACTCAGAGAATTAGTAACATTATCTTTTAAACGATTGGCTTCTTCAATCTTCATATGGCCCACCAGCTCTTCAAGTGAAATTTCTCTCTTCTTATGCTTAAGAGAATTGTAGTAGTCGGACCAGGACTTGGGTAGCTTCTCAATAAGAACATTAGCTTGTAGTACCTCACACATTTGTATCCCTTCGGCGATGATGTTAGCAACCAAGTTCTCATAGTCATGGACTTGATCCATTATCGGCTTATCGTCTGTCATTTGGAATTTAAGCCATTCACCGACAACGCATTTTTTTATGCCCGCATCATCTGCACCATACTTTTTCTCCAGAGTTTCCCAAATCGCCTTGGCACATCTTTCTCTAAGAAACATATCAAATAATTTATTTGACATGTGACTGAACAGATGTCCTCGCACTGTTTTGTTATGTTTCTCGTATTTCTCGTAGATAGCGAGAGCGACGGTGGCAGTTGCTAAGGCATCATCATTCAAAACCATATCTGTATCATTTCCGACAAATGGGGTTGATGGCATGATAGGTAGTGACTTGAGCAACACATAATCAAGATCAAGTTGCTCGAAGAATATGAGGATTCGTTGGGACCACCTTCGATAATTTTTTCCATCAAGTGCGTCGAGCTTGGAAAGATTAGGAATTAGTTTGCTCAAATGTGATGTCATAATTGCAGTATATAGGAATTCGTTTCTAAATTGTTGGATATATGGACTGTAAAATCACACCGTTAACACTGACAAGAAAGATAAATAGTAATTTTAAAAAAACAAATTCATAAACCGTGTCATGGTAAAACCACTATCTTAGAAATGAATTCGCCCCGATGTGTGTAATCGCTGCGGTAGGCGGACCGTTCCCCCGAGGTTAACACGGCTCTCCAAGAATTCGTACACCCGAAAATTGGAGTGAACTTGGTGGTATTGCTCTTCTCAATTCAAAAAACACTCAAAAGAGACAAGTGTTTCAAAGTAAATGTTTGCTTGAGATATCTCAAACTGAATGAAATTGCCCATTATTTGTAGGCTAAATAGTGAAGGCAAAATCGTCATTTCCAAAACATATTTTAATTTTATTAAACATGGGATAACCATCATCAATACTAGTGGGATAACCATCATCCAATACTATAGGGATAACCACTATGAGCATTATCAACACCTCTCGTACAGACAAGAGAACCCTTTATTCTTTTTAGTAGTTGACTTTTAATAAATGAATTGCTCCCCATTAGGCATTCCCCCATCTCAAGCTTTAGCACTTTTCATCATGGATACCCTCATCTTGTTCTCTTTTCTCTTTCTCCTTTTATGTGCAACAGCAGCAGAGCCTTGTTCCATTGCTATGTGTGGCAAAAACAAAGTCCCTATACGGTTCCCTTTCCGTCAACAAGGTAAACAATCCCGAAACTGTAGGTACCCAGGCTTCGACCTCGGATGCGGTAGTCAAAACACGGTTTATCTAAAGCTTCCATATTCCGGAGAATTTTACGTTCGTGATATCAAGTATCTCGATCAACAGATAAGTCTATACGACCCCAGTGGTTGCCTTCCCAAGCGGCTTCTCAGCTTAAACCTTTCTGCTTCTCCCTTTGTGGCTGTTTTTATTCAGAACTACACCTTCTTAAACTGCCCAACTCAGATCACAACGTCTCGGTTCAATGCCATTGATTGCCTAAGCAATTCAACAAGCTCGATCTTGGCTACTTCTTCCGCGAGGCTTGCGAATAAAATGGCCTCATCATCGTGTCGTATCATCACCGTATTGCTGATTCCCGTTTCGTGGCGAACTAAGGACGACGAAGAATTAACAGCAGCGCTTGATGCAGACATTCAGCTGACATGGAATGCACCTCAATGCGGCAACTGCGAAGAGCAAGGAGGAATCCGTGAGTTAAAGAGCAACAGCAGTGAAGAAATCGACTGTTTTCATACACCAAGGATATTTCTTGAAATATTTTTCTTACATATCATGCCATGTTTAGCACAACATCCTTAGGCTAGAATTAGTATCCTTTAGAGAGAAAAAGGAAATACTTCGTTAAAAATTAGGATCCTAATTCTGACTTTACTATAGATGACGCAATTGCTTATTTTTTGTAATTGCTTTTAGATCATGGATGACTTCACTATTTTAATGTCAACTAGCATGATTAAAGTTAATTTATATATAAGAACTAGCATGATTAGTGTCAGCTAGTTCTTATATATAAGAACTAGTGTGTTGTATTTAATTAGCAATGGTCGACAATTTTGCTTCTGGGAACAATCCCCAGCTTCAAATGTCAAATTCCCTTTTTGATGTCATATTTCAGGGAGAAAAGGTAGGGGTCTTCAAGTTTTCAGGGTCATCTCTTTGTGTATTGCTCTACCAGCACTCTCCGGGGCAATAGGAATCACCGTTTTTGCATACTTCCAGGATCGATTCAATCCTTCCCGGAGAAATCCATATCCAATGCAGCTGAACAACGGTACTGCAGAAGTGTTGCCACAACCTGTTCTTGTTGTAACAGGGCTGGATGAGTCCACAATTGAATCATATGAGAAGATAGTGCTCGGCGAGAGCTGGAGAATACCCGGCCCCAATGACAGCACTTCCCCTATATGTTTGTCTGAATACCTTAGCCAAGACATTATCAGGTGCATACCGAAATGCAAACACAGCTTCCACGCAGAATGCATCGATGAATGGCTACGGATGAACTCTATGTGCCCGGTGTGCCAAAAGTCTCCTGCGGCAGAGGATGCTAGTTCACGTAATGACCCTGTTTGATATATTATGTCTTTTTCATTGTAGTGTACGCAATCAATAAAGTAAAAGAAGTCATGTAATAACATATTTGATCCTTAACATTTACATATTCTACCAATTTAATTCTTCCTCATTACTTGCACATTCTAATAATTATTTACCTTTACATATCTTTATAGATTAAACCACTATAAACAAGTTTGTCCCAAATTTCCTCAACTGTAATGGAAGCTCAAAACTATTAATTAAACTAATACAATTATTCTTCAACACTAAAATCAGGCTCGGCTGGCTTTTGAGGAAGCAAGGGCGACAATCTTTGAGCCAATCTGGCGCTTTGTGACCCATTGCTCCGCAGCATTCGTAAAGCATTCACAGCGAATTTTGATGCGTAAAGAGTGGCACCAAGGCTTGCCGAGGCTTCACTCTCTTTGCTCAAAGCCTCTTCCTCTGCTTCGCGTAGAGATTTTACGAGCTTCCTCTTGCAGTGCCGGCGCCAAGCTGCTTGTATAAATGCTGCCGCCCATGTCTGCCATCGCACGGAGTAGTACCTGGTTGAATAAATCACTTCATATAAGCACATTCTAATACAGCATTTTAACTAAAAGGAAACAGTGTTGTGTAGAACAATTACTTGAAAGTGTGCATGAACTGCTTGCTGGAAAGGCGTTGAAACTGTGAGGCCACAAACTTCAAGTCATCTGCCATCAGAGCGAAAGCTTCAACTTCTTTCTGTGCCAGCACCGTTCTTGTCGAAATCGGTAGGTTGGACGATGACTGGGGATCCAAGGCCCAAGTAAGAAGATCATCACCGCAAAAGTCACCAGCCTTGAGATTAGCCAAGTTAAAGAAACCGGTTCTTCCACCATTGGTGGTCGTACTTATCAGATTCCCTCGGATGATAAACAGCATCTCCTCCACCGGATCCCCTTCTCGAAGAATGTAGCTCTTGTCGGTGTAAAGCACCGGCTTCAAACGATCACACATTGCATCTAATAGTCGTTCATCCATTTTGTCAAACATCGGCACCTAAAAACCACAAATTTTGAACTGTTAAATATTTGATTGCATAAACGTATGAAGGTCGAGGATTTAATAAAAGTACTCACTCTTTTGAGAAGATCCAAGCAAAGATGTCTTTTTATATCTCTCCTGAGATCTCTGGGAAGGTTAGCAATGAGAGTCTCCTCTTCGACGCCTCTGGTTTCTTGCCATTTGTACTGTTCGTATCGCCTTATGCGTTCTCTCAGGTTCTCGGGAAGCATTCTGTGGGACATCCATTGCTCTGCATCTTGCCTTTTCACTCTCATTTCCTCCACTCTGACTCCTGTTGATTGCAGATATTTCTGGAAAAATAACAAGAAATGTTGAGTAACAATGAAAGAATTTTTTAATGCCGAAATTCAATGATTCAATGTAGAAGATTGTTAAGCAAGCAAGTACCTGCATATTCCCGATAAGCAATGCAAACAGAATCAACCCACCAATGGAAATAGCAATAGCAAATAGTATCTCAAGCTCGAAAGTGCTTGTTTTGAGATTTTGGCCTAAAGAACTGAAAAAACAAAAGAAACGAGTGGAAATCAACATATTGTTCAAATGAAGTAAACTAGAGGGTTGTTGTTCAATGTTTACAAACCTTAGATTACGCAAACCCCACCAGAAACAGTAAAAGAACTTTTTCGGGTAATCCATCGTTCCGACCAAACCAGAATCAAGTACATCGATGAATATCCCGAAGTTGAAGACATCGGTACCGTTTATGTCATCGGGATTGGTTAAAGGACAAGTAGTATTCAGCAGATTCACTAATGTCTCGTTTCTAGCCGAGTTTGTTTCTTTAAAACAGTACAGAGCGCTTTTGTCACCACTGCCTAGAGCATTGCGCCAGCACCTGTCTTGTCGTTCGATCGAGAACAAGTACCAAAAGGCTCCGACTGCCTGGCATATCGTAAACCGTATAGAATCAGGAGTTTGCTTGTAATTGTTGATATTTGCTTAAACGAAACGATTCATAAACTATATACGGAATTGAACTTACATGACTGGCTAGCATGTAGAGGAAGAGATTCAAAGCAGCACCAGCCCATGCTGTTTCAGTAAGTATACCGGAAGTGCTCGTAACTTCTTTGAAAAGAGGGATGATTCGAATGATTCTCGGCACGTATTGGCAGAAAATAATGGATTCCAACAACTCCTTTGTGACCAAAGAAACCGGGCCTTTCAACGCAGGAATTATGATTACGACTACCACCTAATCAGAAAAGCAACACAAGACATTGTTAATATTTAGTCATGGATTGCAACCGTCGAAAGGTAAGTTAAGTAGAAGTAGTTAGCACCTGCGGAAGTGGAAGAATTGCCAGAATATCGATGAAGAAGTTCTTGCACAAATATCGCTTTGCGATAGCCCTGGGATCATCAATCAACTCACCCCTACCGAAAACACGAGAAGATGGGGCAATGAATGCGGTGCGGAATTGAAAGACGATGTGAATTATATAAAAGGCATCGACGAATGAACGGAGGACGCTGGCAATAATCCCCAGTCTTTTATCCAAGTCAAGGCACTTCTTGAAGTCATCAACCACAGGGATGTAGAAAAACAAAGGATCAACAGCCAGAGCAACAGCACACGAGAGAAGGAACATTTTGTTCCATGTCTGAAGAAACTCTCCTTGTGGATTAAGAATCCTCTTCCTGGTACCCATTCCATTGTCTTTTCTTGGTCGTTTTTTGCCCAAAGAACAAAAGATTATTGGTTTTTTGAAGCTTCTAATCCTTTCAGACCAATTCTTGAATACCCACCGGACACGATCCATAACAGCACCAAATGATGGCCTAAGTTTCATTGTAAACGATCCATCATCTGAACTCCAATCGTGGAACCTGATTGATCAAATGAAGTATCATAAAAGACCCAAGTCAAAACACTATTGGACTGATTATAAATCAAATGACCAGGCCAACAATGAAACCAGAATATTACAAACCAAGCAATCCAATGTTAAGAATTTACATGGTTTCGCAGGGCAGGCTTTAGTATAGTTGACTAGTATTAATGGTACTATACACTCGAACACGCAAATAATTCTATAGTTGGACCGATCAATGAAAACGAAACAACAAAAGCAAACAACTGTATATGCAATGATAAATTCTACACGTATAAAGACTGACCTTACAAATTTGTCTCGCCGGAAAGTCAAGATTTCAGCCAATTTCTGGGGTAGTTTCATTGCATATGCAACCAAGTTCAACTTTGAGATTTATCCAACTCTTGTATAGAACCGAACCCTGAAATGAAAAAGTAAAACCATAACTTAAAATATATATAAAAACCAGTAAGTCAACATGTCTTACAGAGAAATAAAGAAGCAAGGATTGGTTTATTTAGAATATCATTGGAGGGAAAAAAACAGGATTTCCTTTGATGAATTAATGAGACAACTGCCATTAAAGAGACTAAGAGAGCAACTAGAACGGTGGGTGTGACGTTGCTTTCTTTATCATAAAGAAGAAAAAAAATATATGCATATGGAAGACTCACCTTGATAACAAAAGTCAAGACTAAGAAAGATTTAACTTTCGATTTCGTTTATGAAGATGGGTTTGCATTGATTCTGTAGATTTTCAGAGTTCAGACTTCAGACCAAACGAACGAGAAACAGAGGGAAAAACAGTTTGTTTAAGGTGTCATAAAGGCATACAGACAAACGAAGGAAGCCGGAAAAACGATGGAAAATGGAGGAGAAATTTCGTTTGGGGTGGGGGGAGCAGCCCTTTTAGAACATGGATTGAGTCGATAATGGCAATTATATATATTAGATTATGGAAAAAAGAGGAGACCAAGAAGGAAGGCGAAGTCCACGGGGGACGACAGCAGAGAATAGTCAACCCCAAGGGACAAAGTCTCTTTTGTTTATGGAGGGAAGTTAGGTATGGGGGCCAATTTCTGAGGACAAAGTACATATGAACCGTATACTTTAGGTGAACTACATTAATAGTTATTAAACTTTATACCTTACCGATTGACCGTCGATTACTACTAAAACTAATATAAAAATATTTATATTCCAAACCAATAAAAATCCATCAAAAACTTGGATTATCTATTACTCTCTATCAATATTTGTTCTACTTTTAATTACCAAATGAAAAATAATTCATTACCAACGTATATATTTTATTTGGTCCACCTGCAAGTTTTATAAATGCAACATTACTTTTTTGATAATAAATAAAAAAAATCAGTAGTATAAGTGTAAATTAGGTTGGAAATATATTAATCTAAAGTTATTTTAATTTAATTTTCAATTTTAGAGCAATCACATGTGACTGGTTGGTTAAGCTGCTCATCTTTATTCACTTATATTCTTTTAGGTGATAGGTTTAGACTCACTAAAAGCACTCCCCTTTCTTCCTCTGGAATCCTCATTATCCTCTTCTTTCGATAGAATTAACATTAAATTTAAAATTTATTAAAAAATTCAATTATGATTTTTTTTCTTTCAACTATTCTTATGTCAGGTTTATTTTGAATGAGGGAAAAAAAAGCCCATCCATATAAAATTAACATATAGAAACACTGTAAAAGTTGATTTGGTTGATAAAAAAAGGACACTAGTTGTAAATATCATGGACCAATGAGTTCAACAAATTAAATTTTATGCTGGTCTATTTTTATTATTCGTGAACTTTGTCCAAATACATTCGTATTATTGATTAATTTTATATTATAATAATTAATTACAGTTATAATTATTAAAATTATTTTTATAATTATATTTGTGATTGTTGTTATGACTAGAAGTTTCGATTTCTCATCGAGTAGAAGATTATATAAAACATGGATTGCAACTCAATTTTCCTCACGGAAGCTTATAAAAGATCCAAGTCGGTATTGCTTGTATTATTTTTATTACTATTGATAATAATAAAAAAAAAAGTGGTCTACTGTGGAATTGAAAATTCATTAATGCGTAGCAAATTGACGGCGATTACTGATTCTCTTCTCTTCTC